ACTTCCAGATCCGCTGCCAAGTGCGCTGGGGACCCCCCCATGCTTCTGTGGGACACTCCATCTGCCCCAGCATCTCAGCATTCACAAGCTGCCTGGTACCTTGAGGTATGTTGAAAAAACATTTAAAGCTGTGTCTATGTCCAAATCAGTGAGTCCTTCCAAATTTCTCCATATTGATTCGGAGGGTTCTGATTCGATTAAGTGAGATTAAAGGGTCTCCTGATTTGATTTGGATTCAGATATTCGGCCACCGAATCAGATCTAATCGAATCAGCGACCAAAGCTTCTCACAGCCCTACTAATTATGTACTTTAAGAAAAAGCTACTCGCTTAGAAAATGTAAGATATATATTTATAAATCACTACCAGAAATCAGACTACCAGCAAGTATAGAAAAAAAAGTAGCTTTAGGGTGCTGTTCAGAATTAGACCAAGTTCTTGTACCTTCAAATTCTTCTACTGTACTTTTGAAGATGCTGATACCAATTTGCCAAATGCTGCAGAGTAAGCTATATTTCCTTAATCTAGCCTGCATTCTGAACCATGATGTACATTAAGAAAGTCAGTCTAAGAATATAAACAACACATCTGCTTTCCTCATCTTTTCTATATGCTTTTGTTCTCTTTTTAAAAAGAGACTCTGAATTTTACTTCTTTTTATAAAGGACATTCAATTCCAGCCTGCAGCAAAGGGTAAAAAGTTTCCATTTGACATGGCTTTAATGGTTATGTTTCAGGGCACAAAAGCATATTTTAAAATAAAAGAAATTAGACAAGAGCTAAGAGGAAATTTAATATGATTAACCTAAGCGGAAATCATATGCAAGAGAAAGCAGAGTAGTGCAAAAAACTGAAGGCATCACTCAGCAGTATTACATATAGTACAAAGAATCCTATTCATTAATTAGTTTTATTTCATTAGCATTATAAATTCTTTATCCACAGACATGTAGTATCTTACCTACTGTCTTTCATTTCCAATTCACTAAACATCTGAATAAGACAGATTGCAACTTCATACATTTCTTTTGCTATCATAGGTTGTTCAAAGGTCTGAGGAGGAAGCTGGAAGAAAAAATGTTAACATTAAACACTTAATACTAACAGTTTCCAGACAACATATTGAAAGTAAACTGGCAGTCATTCACTTAGGCCACGTGTACATGAAACAAGGGGCATGTGTGCACGACACTTTAAAGCAGGTTAAATGCTTTTGCACCGCTTTAAGGGCGTTGGTGTTTCCATGTGTTGGCAGCATATTGCACAGTAATTCCAGGCGCTGTAGCAAATTCAGTGGCGTAACGCACCTTAAATGACTTGGGGCACAGCAAACTAAAACTCCTCCAAGGAGTTTTAATTTGCTGCCCTACAGCCATGGAGCGAAGCACCGGGCTCCATGCAGCTCAGGGGCTCTGCAGGAAGCCCATGCAGGCAGCCTGGCAGCAGCCTGGGAAGGCAGGCTCTGTCCAAAAAATAAATAAATAAATAAATAAATAAAAGCAGCAATCTTTTTTCCCCACCCCCCCCTTCCTGGAGCCTCCCTGCCTGCCTGAACTGTTCGGGGGCCTAGTGCTTCCCTCTGCTTCCCTCCACAGCTGCAGTGCCGGCCAGGATTGCCGAAGCTGGGTGCCGCCTGGGGGGTGGGGGTGGGGGGGCACTGCTACTGTGAAATAAAGCACCAGTCCCACCCCGCAGCCCAGGGACCGTTCCGCCCACCAGCAGCTCGCCCTCCCCTCCCCACCACCGGAGAGGTAGGTAAATGGGTGTGTGCACAACACGGGAGTTTAAAGGGTCCTAAATTGAAGTGGTGTTTTTAAAAACCCACTGCTTCAATTTAGGGCCCCCATTTCATCTACACACGCACCTAGACCAGAACTAGTCCCCGTGCTCAGTGTGATTTTTTGCAGACTTTTTTAAGTTTTAGTAACCCTACTGCAATTTTTCTAAGATCAATAACTTGGCTATAGGATAGCTCAGTCTACTTACAGGAATTAAATTTTGATCCTTATATTTTTCTTAACATAGTAGGGACCACCTTTTTTTTGGCAGGTGTGCCACAAATTAAGCGTCACACCCTCTGATCCCCTTCCCCTACCCAATCTGCTGCCCTGCTTTCTGCTCCCTGTCCAATTTTCTGCCTGCTTTCTCCTCCCTGTCCTATCTGCCACTGTGCTACTGCCCTCTTCCCAATCTGCTAAGTGTCACACACAGGCTGCCCATAAGACAGGTTGGCGACCCCGTGCTAACATTTTATTCTTCAGACAATACAGAGTTCTCGAACACCTTACGAGAAATACTACGAAGTTTTTCATAACAGTTGCCTACTTAAGACAAGCAATATGTTCCTACATTTCCTGAAGTAACAAGGCATACCTGGAAAGGCTGCAGCAAAGCATATGGATTGCTCCTGTGCAGTATGTAATTACAGTGCATTAAAGCATTCTAATTAGTGCATCTCCAGCAGCCTCTGCATCTCATGCATCAGCATCCCTGTGCTTCAAAATGGCAGCAGGGTCACTTTAACTAAAGTTTGTTCAATGTGGGGATGCCAATACAAAAGACACTGCGGGTGCTTTAATTAAAAGCGGCCCCTCTCCACTACTGAAGCACACACAAAAATGCAAATGGTGTAAACCTGTAACAGAACAGTTCAGTGCACATAAAACACTTTCAAAATGGCCAAAACCAATTTAAAATGAACCTGGTTGGATGCAGCATCACACTCAACTGAGCTAGGTTAAACCAGTCTACAGAACTCCTGCCCCAGATCCCTTCCTGATCCAAGTTAACTCACAGTCCCCCAGCATCTCAGGGTGCTTTGTAGTCCTGGGCTATGCTGTCTGCTCCAACAGAGCAAGGCTGGCCCCACCTTCAGCAGTCACAGAGGTGAGGCACTAAAGCCTCAGCAATCCAGCCTGGTTCCTGCCTTGGTTTGTCAACCCAGTGGGCCATAAGGCAAAGGAATGGATGCCCAGGCCCCCCTAGCCCCAGGCTATACAGCAAGGAGAGGAAAAGCCCCTGTGGTGGGGTTTTTTTGTTCCCCCTCTTGTAGCCCCTGTGGTGGGTGCTTTTCCCCCCCCATGTCAGGCAGAACCCGGCTTGGGGGGGGGGGGGGGGGGGGCCGGGAGGGGG